CACTCTTGTGGGACACTCTTGTGGGACACTCTTGTAGGACACTCTTGAGGGATACTCTTTCTTGTAGGATACTCTTGTGGGACACTCTTGTAGGACACTCTTGTGGGACACTCCTGTAGGGCACACTCTTTGTACGAGACTTCCTCCAAAAGTCACGCTGTGAGGCTGCAAGACGAGCGTTTCGTACGAGACTTCCTCCAAAAGTCACGCGTCAAGCTTCAAAAACGAGCGTTTCGTACGAGACTTCCTCCAAAAGTCACACGTCAAGTTTCCAAAACGAGCGTTTCGTACGAGACTTCCTCCAAAAGTCACACGTCAAGTCTCCAAAACGAGCGTTTCGTACGAGACTTCCTCCAAAACTCACGTGGTTCGTGTTTGCAAAACGAGGATTTCGTACGAGACTTCCTCCAAAAGTCCAGCGGCAACACCCATCGGAGCACACACATCACGCAGCCCTGCCAAGCAGTTTCGCGAGTCCAGCCCCTCCAAACAACACCCGTTCACACGCCAATCCCAATGTGACAGCGACATTCACCTCTACCACCCCCTCACGATTCCCTGCGGCTGCCACGAATCTTTCCGCATCCACACGTCTAACGCGCACAAAGTACTGCGCCTGCCACGACAGGTCACCTCCGTCACACCTCGCAACCTCACGATTTCCTGCGCCTACCACAAGAATCGCACTTCCACACATCAAAAGCCGTGCAAAGGACTGCGCCATATCATCTCATGTGAGCTTCAACAAAATTTGCACCACACCACACGTTTGGAATGATTTCGACCCGTTCTGAGCATACTCCCATCCACCAAAATCGGCATTTCAGCTGAGACTTGTCACAAAAACAGAGCTTCGACGCCACACCCGAAAACGCAAATCCCAATGGCACGGCCACATCCAACACCCCAAAAACACGACTCTCCAAACGCTAATCCCAATGGAACTGCGCAGCAATCTGCAGATCTCACTTGCGCGACATATCTTTTTCATGCAAATCACAATGGAATAGCGGCGCAAACTGACACGTGACACATCCATGAATAGTCACTTGCAAAAGCTTCCCCCAATGGCAGCGCCTTAGCGCTCTACCGCGAACGGTTGCGGACGGTTGCGGGCGTAGAAACAACGGATCGCGAACAAGGCTCTACCCCCAGACCCCCAAGAGTTAAACGAGAACCCTTCGCTACGCATTCGGGAAAAGAGCGTTTGTCCTGAGACATAAAGGTCCAATTATCTGCATATGTGAAGGGGGTGATCCGTATGTTAGACATCCGTTTAAAGAACGTAGCAGCAATAGCCAGCATGGCACAAACGGACATGGAGTCACCTTCAGGCGCCCCTGTGGCGAGGGAACTGGCTGAGCTACCAAAACTGGACGCTTCAATTTCAGCGTGCATGTTGTTCTTGCTACGAGATGCCCTCCCATGATCCTCATGGCTAGCTGTTTTGTTCCTACACGGTTGGTCCCCTGCGCTCCAAGAAGATCCTGCATGGAAGCAAAGCCACTTGTAACGGAAATCGTTGTCCGAGCTGTTGCTTTCTTCGGCAGTAACTAAACTTGTACACGACCAACACGTGTCTTTAAAGTACTCAACTCAACTCCAGGAAATATCGCTGGATAGTTGAGCCGCAGATGATAGATTTACCTGATAGCTGATAGCTGATACCACTTGTGCGACGGCTACCAAGTGCAAATCGCAACAACACAACCGAGTATATATATATATATATATTATATATATATTATACAGAACACGTATCTAGAGATCGCACTTTTCAGAAGACAAGGAAACAATAAAATTATAAATTTGTTTTTGCATGTTTTTTTCGCTACTATTGCGTTTTCGCATATGTTCGTGTATTTTCGTGTTTGCCCAGTTTCGGGAAAACCCAAGACCAACCAACCGTTTCTTACATGTTCACTTTTTTGCAGAAGTAATTACGCCCCACCGCTATGGCAATTTTCGCATTTTCGCGTTCGACTCCGAAAAATCTAGACGCATCCAGACACGCATTCCGCATGCACAGCTATTGATTTGGCCCAACTTTTTCATGCAATCCTACCCGCCTTTTTTGGCAGTTCTTCAAGCACGGCCATTTTTGGGACCCAGAATATCTTCCTCGTTCGCTTCTTCACCACCTTTAGTTCACCAACGTATGCTCCTGCCAATTTACTTTCCCGTTCTTTTCAAATCCGGACTGCTCAAAACCTTTTGCTCACACTGTCTCATTGTTGGCTCATGCCTTCGGCAGTTTTGGGGCATTGGCCAAATAGTTGGACGTGCACAGTTGTCAATTATGTTTGACAATATAAATAAATGACGATATAGATTTGGATGTTTCGAAACGATTGGCTAGCTCTCACGTGCTCTCATAAGGTAAGATTGGTCAGGACCCTGTTCTTTTTTGCATTTCCTTGTCAAATGCTTCTTTCCAGCAGCTCCATCCTGTGGAGGCACTAAATACTCTTCGGATCGTTTCAAAAATGTTTGCAGTATGTGGGGGCGTTTGTTTTGCAGTATGTTGTTCTCCTTTGTCTGCCTCCGCAGTAAGAGGGTGGGTTGGATCACTACGGAGATGTACTTTTTATATAACGTCGCTTGAACCAGTGATCAGGTCATCACTGCCTTTTGCCTGATATGCTGGCTCACCGCTGCCAAGCCGCTGCAGCCTGAAGAACACACAAGACACGCCTCTCCAGATCTCGTGATGTTGAAATCTATGTGTGTGTGTATGTATGTATGTCAATCGGCCCGTATTTAAAAAATGAGTCGTTGCAGTGATTTCGATCGATGCTAGCGCATCTCGGCTCACAGCGGAGGGCTGATGGGCCACGACCCGGGACGGTGCGGCTGCAACTGTTGCCGTGTCTTGTCCAAGGTTTGGGATATCCTCTTCGCACCGATTCTGGGCTCTACATACATCTCCTTGTTGGAGGCCTCCCATTATCTTCATGAAGGAGGTGGTGATGTTAGACTGTTAGCACTCCTGGGGGCTTAGGAGTGGCTGGTGCGGCTGCTGGTGGGCAGAGGCAGCGCCCGAAGGCTGCATCAGGCGCGGCGTCCAAGAGACAGAGCCGTGCCAGTGGAGCTCCAGCGGAAAAGAACAAGGATCGTGATCGACATCACCGCCGTCGTCGAGCTGAGGAGTATATACCCCGCTCTCCGAAGAAGCAAGAGGACCTGAGACCCTTTGCCACGCGGTCCGGGGAAAGTTCCAGGAGCGAAAGTCCGGCCGAGGCAACAAGGGAGTAGTTGAGCCTGGGCGCAAGAAGCACCCTGGGCCATTCGCAAAAGAGCCCGCAAGACCACAGAGAGGGGGCGAAACAAAAAGCGTCCTCGTCCGGGAGCGAGGAATCGAGCAGCAGCAGCACCCTTCAGCTCGGCTGTCCAGCGCGCCGCCCCTGATGGCACAATATGCCAGGCAATGTCTGACCACGGCCCATTTTACTCGACCTATTTTTGGCCGGGAAGATTGCAAGCGCAGAGCAGACCTAGCCTGCCAACGAATGAAGACTCTCGAAGCGGTCGGACGTGGAGTTCGCGATGTTTTGCGGTTAGTCCCGCCCCATCGAGAGAGATCTGGCACGCCGGGTGGTATGAGAACGAGGAGTACAAGGTCTTCCACCGCGCGGCGGGGAAGGATGGAGAGAAGGGAAAGTTCAAGAACAACGACAAAGACAGGGACAAAGGAGGTCGAGGAAAAGACAAAGGCAAGGGTAAGAAGGAGAAGAAAGAGGAGCCGAAGAAGTAGTGGCTGCAACGCAAGAAGGAGCACAAACGGGAGTTCTCCGATAGTGGTAGGGAGAGCTTCCTGGTACATACAGAGTGAGGCTGTATCGCCAGATGAGGACTTGAGGCGACAGTCTTGGGACGAAGACACTGGAGAGCGAAATTCGCCAGATGGCTGAACAGGACCTCGTGCTGGGACTGAATGCTGATTTTTGGAAGCCTCCTGCAAAAGGGCAATCGACTCGTGAAATCCGACATATTCTGAGTCAGGCCTGGTCCACATTTGTCTGGTCTCAGATTAGTCACCGCAAAGGAGTCATTGATGTCCCCTTTGATGCTTACATCCAACACAAGACTCTGAGAAGTCTCTCTCCGACTTCCCTGCGCCTCATCGCACTCGATCTCACGGGAGGTTTTCAAACAGGAGCCATTAAGCATAAGTGGGATAGTACACGAGAACTTGCGCGCCCATTCTGCGGCCAAGATGATACGCACGCACATCGTTTGCTACATTGCCCGAATTTTCTGCATGTTCGCAATAACCACCAAGAAGCCATTGCAGCTTGGCATGCCCATCACAATCTTTTATGGTTCCCGCTTGCGACAACACACTCTCAGCAGATCGTGTATAACCGTTTCAAGCTGCATCGGGCGGGGCCTTTTCTGGATCACCCTCCACTGGTTGACTGTTCAGTTCACACTTCCGTCTATACACTGATGGCTCGTGTGATCGTCCAAAGGACTTAAATTGCTGCCGTGCATCTTGGGCTGTTGTACAACATGTGTCTACAACACCAGAGGATCCTTCTGTGGATGATTTTGTTGTCATTCAAGGTTCGCATGTGTCAGGCACACAATCAACTAACCGGGGCGAGCTGGGAGCCATTGAATGGGTGTCCGAATACTTCTCTAGCTGTTCATTTCGTCCTCTTTTCAGGCCATGGACTTCCGCTGTGGATCTTTGACCCTAAGGAAAAGATACTCAAACCATACGCATTTGATTCACCGGAAGCCTTGATTCAGCCAAAATCCGCCCGCGCTTTGTGCCATCAGGCCTCTACTTTGCGGGGCATCATTAGATATCTTGAAGGTACAAGGCAATGTCATTTGTTTCCACGCTACAAGAAAACTTGCGCTTCGTCTCTAGTTCGCATGGGCTTCCATCGAACCTTGGCTGGGGGTATGGCTGCTCGACCCGCCATGCCTAATTCAGCTGTTGCTATTAAACTTCTTCCTGAATATTCAGCCCTTCCTGAGCAACCCTATCCCATGAATGTTCGACTGCCTTTCCCGGTATGCAGTGACTACGCTTCCGCTTTTCCAGAGATTCCAAATAAACCGGCACTTCATGTTCGAAGAAACGTATACCAGAAAGTCCGCAAATTCATTAGACTTAAGAAGTCGCTTGACGAATTGGCTCTTGATTGAATGCATCTCGCCGCTAATTCACTTTTTACTCATGACCTGCGCTCCATCCTGGTTCATTGAGTCGTGGTCTGCGCGTTTTCTTTTCACACAGTTTTTGTGCTATAGTCATACCCTCCTGTACCCCACATAGTGGAAGGGCCGAGAGGGGCGGATCGGGGACCGCGAGATGTGTGTGGGGAGGTTGAAGATTTTTCAAAGTGCAATACTATGCGGCGGCTTTTGTGAAGAAGGACAATGAGATTCGCTCCACCTTGGCCATGGATGAGCGAGCTATGCGAAACAGCGTCTTTCCCTTGGCCAGCATGCCGTCTATGGAGTGGAGCAGCAGAGTTGCAGAGGCTTTGAACCACCTGGGCCGATGGAATGCGCCGGCTCAGCACTCTCGTTGAAGATCTCGAATATTTGAGCGAACTCGTGAAACGAAACGCCATGTGGGAGGTTTCTGAGATGGATGTGTGTTTCACAGACTTTTTCCACGTAAGTCAGTGGACCGTTGCGGTCAAGAAGTGAACTTGGCGCAAAAACCTTTTTGGCCGGCTATTCACGAAAGCTTTCCTGAGGGCGGTGCATCTTTGGAACTGGAGCATTTTTGCAAGCTAGGTATAGTATAGTGTTTTGATGACTTTTATTCCCTGAAGATTGGGTCTATACAAAACCACCCCGGGTGATGATTGAGGAAGAGCACTGGCCCGATGTTTAGAAGGGACTTTTAGATCGAGGGGTGCGTGAAGTTTTTCCTATTGAGAGTCTTTGCAGAGTGGCTGGGCTTCCTCTCCTTAATGGTATGTCCTCAGTAGGCAAAGGTCAATTTAAGGGCGGTATAGAAACGAACCGTTTGGTCTGATTATGAACCTCGAAGCAGGATGCGTTCAGGTTTCCGCCGTATCAGTACAAGGATGCCCTGGAATCGAAAAGGCGAGAGGCGGCGCCCGCATAGTGAGCGCGAGGTTATCATGGGTTTTCCTCACGACTACACCAGGCATTGTGTGGTGAAGGCAGAACAGAAAGGGCTTTGAGGATTCCAGGCTCACGTTGCTGGGCAACTGCTGGCGTGTGGGAGTGATTTAGCTTATTCGGCAATTGGGCGTGCAATTGGGACTGGTCCGACTTGTGTTCTTCAGGAGCTAGTTGATTCTTTTTCCCCCGGCCGCAGTTCTACCGTCTTTCAGGCGTTGACTCGTCCTCCGCTCCATGCAAGGCTGGAGGCTTGTGATGAGGCTGATCAGCAGGCGTTCGTCAAGAAGTTTTTGGGTGTCCAGCACAGATGGATCCAGCCCCACGGTATAGTTCCGAGTCGTTTGTGGACATGGAAAGAGATCAGTGGTTGGAGATGGAGACAATCGGGAGATTATATAAATTTCCTTGAATTGCGGGCGATTCTGACGACAGTCAAGTGGAAGGTTCAGATATACAGTTGCAAAATCGACTCCGCGTTCGTTTCCTGCGTTTGACAGACAGCCTAGTATGCTTGCACGCCCTCACCGGAAACTTCGTTCGACTTTGATGAGGATGAACTCCTATCTTCTTGCGGCGGGCCTTCGTCCCCTTGAAGATATGTACACACTTCCCGATTCCCAGAACCCCGCCGACCGTCCGAGTCGGCGACCCTTGCGCAGGAAATGGGGAAGGTAAAGGGAAGGATACTTGAAGGCCAAAGCAAGGAGAAAAGGAAAGAAGAAAGGCAGAAGCTAGGCAGTCTTAAATTGTTTGCGGCGGCGTCCAAAACTAGGGTTAGGTACGAGAAGGCCCGCGAGATTCTTGCAACGCAATGGTCTCCGTCGTCTCCGTCTTCCACAAGAAAGAGAACTTCTGGACGGTCTGCTTGCAGGGTATTTTGAACCTTTAGGGTCTGATGGCGAAGGCAGAGCACTGGCTTCAGACACTATTGCAGTCCTCTTGGAGGTTGTTGAAAACTTGGTGCGTAAATGAAATCCCAAATCGAGCACCCCCACTTCCTGAATCTGCTGTTCTAGCGATGACTGGACGGGCGTTTTTTCACAAACATTCTTCTTCTGGCATCTCTCTGCTCGTGGCTTTTTACGACATGTTGTGAACAGGTGAGGTACTGACCTTAAAGAGTTCTGACGTCTCCATGACGTCCATTCGTTCTTCTGCTGTGGTTTCGTTGGGTATGACAAAAGGAGGACAAAGACATATCGCTGAAAGCTGTATACCCCCCAGCTGGTGTTGAAGTGGGTTTGGCACTGGAGGCAGCGCAATATGTAGTCCTCATGCCAAGTTGTGTTCTAGTTCGTCGCTCCTTGCCAAATGTTTAACTTCATTGAAACCTCGACTCATTCCAGTTCCGTCCGTACTCTCTCTGAAGGGGAGGAGCCACGCGGTGGTTCTCCCGTCATGGTTCTTTGGATAAATTGCTCGTCGCCGGTCGTTGGCAAGCTGCTAAGACGGGCCGACTGTACATCAACGAGGGATTGGCAGTCTTGGCTGTTTTGAAATTGCCGCAGAAAGATGTTGCGCCTTTTTCCCCAAAAAGAACATTCTTTGCAACCGGAGATGCACTTGAGCTTGCCGGGATGCAAGTAAAAGGGGGACGTGGATAGAGCTGGAGTGAGACTCTCTTTTTCCGCATTTTGCTATCTATTTGTCGTCCGAGCATGGTGCCTACGGTTTGGCGGTGGCGCCGCAAAATAAAAAGATGTACCTTTTCTTTCCGGCTTGGCGGGAAGAACTGCGCACGGCGCCTTAAACTGTAAGGTTCTCCTGTGGGGACCTGAATCCGAGAGAGATAACACTAATCTATGTCTATTTACTATTTTTGACTCGCCTGCGGAGCGCATCGGGAAAGAAGGCCGACGAGTTGATAGATATATATATATACATATATGTATGTATGTATATATGCAAATGCTGAGCATGCTTTTCAGTAGTTGACAAAGACTTTTGCAGTTTGTCCACGGCCCGAGAGAAACGCTTGCGCAAAGGTGAAGGGGGCGTCAGTTCTCCAAACTATACGGTCCAATTCAACCAAAGGCTGTTGTATCAGAATATGGTTTGTTTCGGTTTGAGGCCAAAGTGTTTCACCAGGCGCTACTTCATGGCTGAGACGTAAGCCATAGAGCATCCTAGACTCACTCAGCCCAGACCAGGATGTGCGTTCCAGTGTTGACTGAAGGCCAGATGTGCAACAAAGCATTGCGCAGCAGATCAGGGAGGTCTATTGGTACTGTTGGGATTTGCTTGTGAAACTGCTGCGTTTGCAATTGCTCTGGCAGGATTCGGCTCTGGGTCCAAATCGTGATCAGCGTGGCTGTTTGCAAGCTGCTGGGTTTGTTTGGTGCGAAGGATAGAGATGCGAAGATTCTGAAGACACAATGACAAGATATGAAAATAGTAAGGGCGATGTTTCTTTGAATAACTTCCTTTCTTTAAAGTCCTGCAACGCACAAATTGTTGTTTCGCTGTTGGCTCCAGGAATTGGGAAGTGCATCAGGCCTTGGAAGGCGCAAAGCATTTCCAGTTGTTTGCGCTGTTGCTTAAACACGTGTGGTTCTACCTTGTGTTTGCGACCATGTAAAGCATCCAGGTTGTAAACGCGCGCTTGGACTCGAACTATCCAGAGCCCTTCCGCTTTTGCGGCGCGAAAACAAGCGGATCTGGTCAAGATTCAAGCTGGTAGCGGAGCCGGTGCAGGAGAGTAGAGTTGTTTTTCGGCGCCGGACTCTCACAGCGGCTCACAGATCCAGGGCATGTTGGTTGCTGATCCTACTAGGAGCGTGGCTGATTGCTTGACTCCAGATCAACTACCGACGGCGCAGCCCCGTTGATATACGTTCCTTAGTGGTTTTTCCTTAGACCTTGAAGCGCTTCGTATACATATATATATATATATTGGGGGTGAGGTCAGGGATCAAGGCGTGGAGACCTCAACACCCAGGACATAATGTTGGCATATAATAACGGACGGTAGTAACGTCCCAAATATGCGCTTTTCTTCCTGGTAAACGGCCAGTATGTGCACACAGCGTTGCTGCAGCCCTTGACATGATCTGCACCTGTCGGCCCAATCCGGCCAACACAAGTTCACCACGCATGGTATCACTGGTCACCATACGGTTAGTGCAGCTGCAGGCTCCGACACTCGTCAAAGGTACCAGCCGTTTACGTATGCAGACAAAAAACGGTTACGATAACTTGCCCGGGCCCGTTGGAGAAGTAGAATTTGATCTACTGGAGAGAGTCATCTGAAATCTGCTGTGACGTTTTCAGACTCTAAGTTCAAGACAGTTGCCTGACCAGCCAAGTTCCGCCCTGTCGGCTAGAGCTATATGAACAGACTCAGAAAGCTTTCCCGGACTGCTAAAGCTTGAGTGGCCGATTGAATGCAGAAGGTGGCGCGGTTCAAATGAAGCTCAACGTTCTCATCCATCAGGACACTGAGATGACTCAAGGGAATCGTGACCTGAGAGCAGGAAATTGTGAAGTCGACCTCAGTTGTGCAATACCTTGGGCAATAGAGTTGCAAGACTGGGTCTGTACATATGAACTGCGCATCACACGTAGATAACGGTGGTTGACTCTACCCTGCGTTTCCGACAGTGTAAAGCAGCCAGTTGTGAACGCGCGCTTGGGCTTGGTTCAAAAACACATGCCTTGATCTTTCGCGGTACGAAAACGGATGGGTCCGGTCGAGGTTCGATCATTTTTTCATGCTGGGTACATCTAGGTATTGCAATTAGCTGTAGCTACCTTGTTCACTCTTGAAATACACTTTGCTACAGCATTTGCAAGGCGCTTGCACGTCACATGAACCATAAGACATTCTTCTTCGAGGAGTCGTGCCCTGGTGGAACCGAATTCTGCCGCAACTATTGCTTGCTGCGAACTTAGTACATTGCACGTTCCTTGCACAATGGCTCCTGTGACCATGTGTGCTCACAGTACTTGAACAAGTTTCTTGCTCTACTCATGCGCTTTTGAAACTTCAAGCTGTACTGCAGGACCTCGAAAAAACAGAACCCAAACAAGTTGAGGACTGTGCACAGTACTTGGCTCAGATGGAGGCTTGACTGGCGGCTTAATGCGCTAAGAAGGGCAGGGCGAAGTATGGTTCATGATATATGCGGCTGCTTCAGCCCCCAAAGACCTTGATTTGGTAGCTAGTAGACAAAGTATGGAAAAACTGCTGCTACTTAGGCATTCGTTGTGGCTGTCATGGGTTGGAAGACATACGCTCAGCTCAGTTTTGCACATTGTCCAAGTTCAGTTTGTCAGATAGGCTGCGTTTGCCGTACAACAAATTCAAGAATTTTTGTCGCCAAACCCAAGGATTTGAAGATGATGACCTCAACCACACGAGGCAGCAAACTGTACCAGGTTAAAGTAGTTGCAAGGCAATTGACAAGAAGTTTGCTTGACTAATTGCACAAAAATTTGGCAGCCTGCCAACCTAAGGAGTGTCTTGATGCAAAGACGGAACAGAATATTGTTTCACACCCAATTTGCCGGTACATCGCTTATTTGTTTCACGGGAAAAGGAGTCAAGTGCTGCATATTCAACCTGGAAGTATTTGTGGTCACAAAAGACGATACCTCATCATTGCATGTTTACCTGAGCCGTTGACAATTCTATGGTTGGGTTGGCTTGGGTCGGCTTCTATCGGCTGTGCATAGATTTGGTCCGATGTTGAACTGAGATCACACCCTTGCTTGAAGCCTTGTGGTTTATTCAGAAAAAATAGGAGACTTTAAACGTGTGGTGCCCTGCAAGATTCAAGATCAATGGTTCAAAATTCAATAGATATATATATATATGTATATATTTTTACATATATATACATACACACATAGTGTTCAATCCAAACACGTTTTTCCAAACAGTACATCTCCGCATGTCTTTACAGACTTGACCAGCTTGATGCTAACGCTTCAAATTTCCATCAGTTTAACCTCAGAATAGCACATCCAAACACAAAGCGCGAGAAACCATGACAAAGACAAAGCCTGGCTCAAAGCCGAAGCGCAAGAAAGCGAGCAAAGGCAAGGTGCACAAGACCAAGACAAAAGTTGGACAAGGAACAGTGGGAAAGCGATCAACAACTGGGGAGCCTGAAGAGCCTGCACCATCAACGAAGAATGAGGGAACATTCCAGGTTGAATTCCAGTTTTTTGATCCTGAAGAGGAGGATTTTCATAGTGTTCGAGACCTACTGTGCAGCGGCACACTTGGCTTTGCTGAATTGGATTTTTCAGGTTTAGCCAACAGTATTGTGGACCAGGTCAATATTGGTACAATGGTAAAATCAGGCAATCCTGATGAAGCACGGTCGGGTGTTGACCAAGAGGACGAAGACGTGACACTTTGCGGCATGCTTACAATTCTAAATTTGCAGCAGTTCGCCAACACTACGTGGTGCAAGAGCCTTGCGACCCTGCTGGAAAGCAAGGCCAAATCGGAGAAGCAGCTACTTCAGTACACGCGTTGCTCTGGACAAGATCAAGTGGGTTTGATCCTTTCTGAGCGCTTTGTCAATTTGCCGCTGGAAGTCATACCGGCAATGCACAGTGCGATACTTGAAGATATTAAGTGGTCTTGCACCACAGAGTATTGCCCGCCAGAGGAGCCGGCGTTCAGAAGATAATTTAAGACAAAAAGACGGAGTACTTATTGACAGAAATCTTGTGTTTCATAATTAGGTTGCTTACAACCAATTGGACTTCTGGAAGCAAGCTGGCGAGGAGCGGCCATTTTACTTCTTCACACACTTTCTGTGCTTGGCTCGTTGTCAAGCTGTCACAGAAGACCAAGGCAGGTCTTGGGTTGTTCATGGCAGTTTCAGCAGGATGCGCTGGCAAAAAATTAGACAGTGTCAAAGGATTGCAAAAGATGCTAGCAGTGGCCAGCGGGGGCTTATTTGCTGCGGAGGCCCATTGCAGTCACTTCAGCTTAAGAATGGTACCCTACTCCAATTCTCACGAGCCGAGGAGCCGCGTTCTGACATGATTCACATAATAAATTGAATAAACACATTGAAGCTCATTAAGTTACCTCTCTCTTCAAAGGGCATTTGAATGAAGAACTAACTGATTCGATCACACAAAGGCCTGAAGGGGTTGCTGACAAGGAGCTGGTGCTTGCCCGTGCAGCGTCCTTTGTCTCCAGCTTCCCGCAACAATCCAAAGATGGCCGCAAGGCATCGCATCTTGGGTAAAAATCACTACCAGTTTGTGTTCTATTGTTGCGTCTTTTGAGAAGCAAAAGATATACATATAATATATATATATATCCAAATCTTCTTTAAGCGAGTCAACTTTTGCTGCACCCCCTCCTCCATGTTGCAAGCACTCGCCCACCATACTGTACCAGATGGTTTTGGACAAGCCATGGATGTAAGAGTCGGCATCAAGGTCCTTGTTCAATGGAAATCAACCTTGTTGGCGTGGGACGCCTGAAAGGACCCAAGTGCAAACCAAATGTCCTTTGATTGTCAAGCCCACACTACAATGAAGGTCTTGCTTGTTGCTGGCCGTTGCAGAAAATGACATTACTATTTCTTTATAGATATTTCTATATACATGTATTGTCCTGATGTTGGCTTGCCGGTTGACATTCTGTCAAGCTCTAGGTTTATCCGACATGTAAGTGCTGAAAGACTTGTGAACTCCACGTGTGGCTCAAGATGTAAGATGTTTGTAGCGGGAAGAAGCAGTCCTCGGGACTGCGCAATGGTTGGTGTTGAGCGCAATGTCCACGCAGGGGTCAGTGAAGGTTGGATGCTAGATTAATGATATATCTTGGATGCCCAATACATGGTGCCGAAAAAGGTAAAAGGTTGTGCCGATTCAAAGAAGATGGATCGGGTGTGAGCGGAATATGCTTCTTATCCCCTTTGCCACTTTGGTCTAGCTCCACTGAAGCTGTGGGGAGTGTGCGGAACAAAAAGTCAAGAGGGCAAGCTCTTATTCCCACACCATGATTGTGTGCAGATGTGACTTGTGCAGCATGTTCTTCGACGACAAGGCTTGAACGAAGGGACGAAGGGACTAACAAAGCTCCGCGTAGCAACATAAATCATGAAGTGTGTGAAATACCAGCCTCCCAATTCCGTGTAATACAAGCTACGCAAACGTCAAGAATCATCTTAAAACCTTGCAAGCCCAGAATTTCACAGCCATCCCGCATTCTCATGGGTACTCATGCACACCCATGCACGGCAGGCATGTGCAGCGAAAACACTCCTTATCAGATAAGAAACAGGAAAGCGACTTACCAGACGAGGTCTTGCTTGGTTTGCTCTTAGTAAGGGGGAAGCGTTGCGCCGTCCTGGAACCTTTGTGGTGCAAATCAACCCATTCAAGCCCTACAAACAAAGGCCAAGCTAATTGCAAGGCAGTCTAACAAGACCTGCGTAAAAGTGGGAAGCCAATCTGCCAAACTGCTCGAGGCAAAAGAATGCCTGTGAGAAACCGCTGATCTGGAAATAGATTTGGCGTGATCTGACACACACAGACACATACGGACTTTTGCTGTTTGAGCGCACCCATCCATCTCCCTTGAGGAAAAAGAGAAGAGAGAGGCAATCTCTGCAATGAATGTCCCCTTCATCACGGAGATGAGACATGACTCAGTACCGCAATGTACAAGCACGCTCACAAGGAATGGCATGTCTAATCCACGTGGGTGAAACTGAAGCAACCCCATCCGGCGGCTTCTTTCGCAGAACAGCCGAACGAACTCTAGCATTCATCTCATGACATTATGAAAGCAAAAGTTCACGTCAGGATCCTATTTGTAGAAAACACTCTGTTGTTCATCCAAAATCGTGCAGCAGCTCAAGAGGAAGTTTTATATGGCGGGGCCCCAGAACGAAATTCTTGATACATTTTCACTGCCGGAATAGCAGCATGTGCGGCAGTGAAGGATGATGTGAAAAGCGGCCTATGTAGGTGTGGCCAAAGCTGATCTCTCGAAGTCTTTGTATGTGGGCAAGATGTCCACTTTCATAAACACCATAAAGCTTTGCAAGAATCGACTGATCGTCCGCAGCGCATGAGACTGTTGTTGCAACCAGGAACAATTTGCACCTAACTGCTTCTGTAAGCAGTTGGTAAAGAGGCGGTTCCATCTAAAGCAATCACCCACAGTGGTAGGTACCTCCCAAAGTTTAAAATGAAGCTCTCGGTCAAATCGAACCGCGTAATGCCAAGATCCCGTTGAGGCACTTGTACTGGTACCGGCTGAATGGCTTCATCCGGCCATGCTAACTTGCTGCTTGCTGCCTGCTGCTGCTGCTGCTGCTGCTGCTGCTGGTGCTGTTGCTGTTGCTGTTGCTGTTGCTGCTGCTTTGGGGTAAGTTTACCCCTAGATTTGCCGATCACGCATCTTCGTGCCGGCCAACGAGTGCACCCGGGTTGTTCCAATGTACCCTTCCCAGTCGGCGATGCCACATTTACATTGTTTAGCACAAAGTATGTACATAGCAACCTTTCTCCCAAAACATGTAAACACTACATGCTTTGCCGACTATGTAAATAGTACATCCGGTGCGATTGGGCTAGCTTTCAAACTCCTCCCCTGGCCTCAAGCCATGCTAACTGTGTGAAAAAGTAGTACCGAACAGCATGTGCTGATTTACTGCTCCACATACACTATTGAGCAACAGCCTCCATGCACGCCTATACGGTCCGGTGAACTGACATGGTCTGACGAATGAATGCTCGGGCTAGTGGCAATTTTTTCACCTACAAAATTAGATTTACGCGCCCGAAACATGTTGGCCATGCAATCTAGATCGAAAGATACACGGCTGTAAGTGGTTGAAGGTTTGGTTTAGGGTCCTATTTGTTCAACAGCCAAGGAGCTTTGGCAAGAAGCGGAAGGTGGAAGGCGCAAAAACGTTTGGACGTGTTTTGAAAATGTGTTCTTCAAAGTTTTGCACCGCGCAGACTTGCCTTCATTGCCAGGCGATGTCAAGGGTCAGGCTGGGCGACAAAAAACACTTCTTGTTCTAAGTGCAAATAACCAAGAAACGTGAGCAAAACATGTGTCAGGAAACAGCTTTGCTTTGAGGAACATGTTGCGGTACTGGTGCTGACTCGGAAGGCCACGAAATCGAAATACCCACTCAATACCCAGATGCATTCAGTCCTCTCAGCTTGTGGCCTCAGGCTTATGAAGGAGCCGTCAAGAACATGCGTGAGGCCCTAAAAGAGGCTTGATGAACTGCTTTGGCATCAAAAGATCGGCGGGCGTCATGATTCATCATGCAGCTGGCGATGTTTGAACTGGAGGTCTAGTCAAAACCAGACTGGACTTGGCTGTGGTTGCTTGCGTCAAGATCTGAAAGTGTCCTCATGTCATGACATGATATTGGGAGATGTTGGACTTGCCACTAGTGGACATGCTTGCATTCAGTTAGGTGCAACCATTGCCAGCATAGACAGCACAAGTTGGGCCATGGTTTGAATAGCTGTGTTATATATACACAGTATATAAATATAGAAAAAGTAGAGAGAGAGAGAGTCATCATTTGGAATCTGGAAGCCACAACATGCAACAACGATGGCTTGATTGATCACACTTAGCCGTGCTACATGGGCGACTTGACTTTCTTCAGGCGTGCGTTTTGCAAGTTGTGAGCTGTGGTCATGACTCCAAGCTTTTGGCATGAGAGTCTTGGAGGTTTGTTTTGCCCACCTGGGTCCGCTCCACTGCATGGCAAGAGATTTCTCCGATTCTGATGGAATTTGTGTCTGACACTTGGCTGCTCAGCCTTGAACTCCTGAGCATAAATGTGTTAAAAATCTGTACATGTTTTCAGCAAAACTGTGGTTCATGGTGAGCGGTGTTTGATTGACACTTTGCGCATGTATCCGTTTCATGCAAGTTGCTTGAACGGGAGAGGCTCTACCAGCAATTCCACATCCGAGTGACGCCGGTGAGCTGTATGGAGGTGTCCTTCCCGGAAAGGGTGATCTGGGCGCAAGCAATCGTCCAACACTTGTCTTGGCTGGCTTCTTTGGAGGATTCAAAAGGGCTGCCAGTATGTTGCGAGACATTATTTTCTTAGATCAACAACCCTCATTCACACTCCTTGGTGATCACGAACGAAAGTGCTATGGCGTCTGCTTTGCTCTCCCTATGCAACACCTCTGCGCCGCTGTCACCTGTATCAGTGGGGCCAATCTTCACATGCACTGACAACTCATGTTCAGGTGGGAGTAAACCAGCATTTCTTAAACTGAGCAAGAAGCTCAATCAAACCAGAGAAGTGGTCAAGTGAAACATTATATGACCCATATAGATCCATATATGAAGCATGCTGAAGCGTAAAGAAACGAATGCAGGTCCAGGACTTGAAGAAGGCCGGAGGAAATGATTCGGAATCACGGCCCGGGTGGAAACTCAGCTTGTGAGACATTGTCCTACTGGGCCTGCAGCCAACAGCTTCGAAGAACGAAATTCGCAACTACGAGCTTTTTTTTTGCATTGGCTCATACATTGGGGAATCACTTCACTTGAGCCGAAAAGGAATTGGTGTGTTAAAGACTGATAAAGATTGTAATTTAATATATCTTATCATTTGTGAAGGTATGGTGTTTTTGGAGAGATTGCTCGGCAGTAGGTTCCGCAATTTGCCGCGGCTCCTACCATTCCACGGCCTCCAGCATTCAATTGGGTGGACGCATTGGCACATTTTGGGCACCTGCTTTAGCGGTTCCAACCTGGGCTCAATTCGCTTTTCCCGCAACATGGTTGCAACACAGACACTAACACGGATAATGAAGAGTTGAAAACACATTAGTTAATCGTGTAACATATGTGTATGCGCATGTAAATATACAATATTTTGAAAACAGCAGAAACGACATGAAATGACAACAGGGGCAGCCATTCTGAAAACATAATAATTAAAGAGGGCATGACAGGGTCAGAGGTGGAGCTGGCATGGGCTGGCCAGCAAACGCCCAATTCATGGGAAGCTCGTGCTATCTCATGCTTCTTGTTCACATATAACTAAGGCAGTGCCAAATGGTGCAGGAAACATCACCCTGCGCTTTTCTTTAGACTCGAGATATCGCCCTGAACTCTACGGAGGAAATAGTTGCCTCAATGAGACCCAATACAACTGCAGCCTCTGCACCAAAGGCTCGGAATCAAAGCTTGAGGACTTGACAACTGGATGTTCTCCAACTTGCAAATTAAGGTCCCTCGGAGGTTGCAGAATATGCGTCATCTTTTTGGCGTCAAAGGCTTCACCTGGTGAGCATTGTTGTGCACAACTACACCGTATTTGTTTATCACTTTCTGTGACATTCCGACTTAGCCTTCATTGTCCTTTAGCAAAGCCTTCTGTGAGGGACATGCTAAAAATGGAAACACGGATTATGTCAATGTTAGCTTGCTTTGTTCATACATTTATATATGTTTTGACATTCAGTCAGCACAGGTTTGCCATGAAAACTTGTTGTCTGGCATCTAAAATGAACAACATCCACAGCCTCCCCTTGATAGAAAAACACATAAAAACACCACATGTCGAGAACGTACTCTTTCTTGTGCGCATGCAAGCGCAAAGCCTAAACCACTCACTGGACCAGTGGTGGCAAAAGAAGTCCGACCAGCAGCAGACCACAATACGTGTACTCCAGGTTGCATGGAGAAATCCCAGGAACCTGCGGGCGGGTGCACTCTGGACTCAGCATCGCGGTTCGATATATCTTGTCTTGATTGCGACACGATGACCCCTAGTTGTCAACCTCAACTCAAGCTTAATCATGCCGGATGAACACACAAACCAGAAACAATTGCCATAGTGTAAGAATTCTTTCACGAATGGCTAAGTGTCACATTTCTGACTTTCAGCCAATACCCTGCATTCCGCGAGGCAGTCCGTGACAGCAGTGGCAAGTGTAGTGTTGCTTGGAGTACTGAAGGTGAACATACATTCAAGGACAAGCCCTTCATGATTGTAAATGCTGAGCTCATTTACCGTCAGCCTTTGCAAGTCACAGAGGAGCCGCCACAGATACACCCGCGTTTGTATGGATCCAATGATCACTGGTTGTCACATAGAGCGCAACCGTTTTATTTGACCCCGTGTTCAGTGGGTGAGCGCAACGTTGGTTGGTTCAGAGCTGCTGGAGTAGCAGACGTAAAGGCTCACTTCGAAATCTCGGCCAGGGGATTTCAATACTGCTACGAAGCTGCCAAAGATGGAGGTGACATTGCCGGGTATGGTCCTGCAAAGAGCTATTTGGAGTTTGAAGCCTCCCGTGACTCCACGCCTTCTTACACCAATGGTCTAAAAGTGCTTCATTTGGTTCGCCGCCTATGGGCTTGCGCAGAAAGCAACTCAGGCTCATACGCATCTTGTGAGTACAATGAAAAAACAGAAACAGAGAGGGTAGCCAGATCTTTGGTGGCAGTGGATTTGCATCGCTTGTGGAACGGCAACAATTGGACACCTAATCTGTGTATTGCTGTGATGGCATGGCTGATCAGCTTTTGGCATGAAGAGCCTGAAACTGCCTATGAGGTGCTGGCCAGGATCAATGATATCCTTTGGCTGCATCGGGACATGTTCACCTCTGATGGTGTGTGCGTTGAAGGTGTTGCCATGTACTCTTTCATGTCAATTACAGGGATTGTTGGAATCTCTGCGATGCAGCGTGCATCCTTTGGATTTGCACCACACGCAATCGATGCAAATACAGTTGCCAGCATAGTGAAGTATCATTTGAAATCATTTGGCCAGCATGTCAACTGATGCCTACACTGTACCGTTTGGAGATTCACACAAGAAGCGAGGGTGGGGTGATTTTTCAACATTGCAAGCTGCAGTCTCTTCTCAGATCATTGGTCGACGCGTGGATGCCACGAAAGCACTGACTCCGCGCGGTGCGCGTGAGTACTCAGCATGTCTTTATGGAAGTGGCGGCTTGTATGAAGACCCGTGGAGGATCAGTCCGGAGCTTTTGTCTTTGAACTTAACTCACCTTACGCTCCTGCAGCGCTCCTGCAACACAGCCCCTGGGAGGAGCCATTTTGCGCACTTTTAGTCGAGGAGGCTATGCGTCCATGCGAATCCCGCTGCTGCCGCCGGGCACAGTGTTCCCATGCTTTGGCAGTGGAATCTCTGAGATTTGCATCCAGGTAGAGCCTTCTTTGGCCGATAACATTCCGTATTCCTTTCTTGCGTTGCAGGCTCGCCCAAACTCGCACTCTCATTCTGAGGTGGACTTCGGTACCTTCACATGGTCCGCGTGGGGTGCGCGACTCATTTCAGAATATGGCTATGGCACAATTGCCACGGCCATTGGTGAATGGGATCTTCGCAGATACGAATACATAGACAACAACCCTGCTGGACACAATACAGTGGTTGTACGAGAAGCTTTCAAAGACGGTGAGGAAATCAACTTTTCTCAGCTTCATAGAGCAGTTGGGGAGCTTTCACTTGCCTCCACGAATGTGGATAAGAGTCAGTCCGTGCCCTATGGTGCTTTACGTGCTGATGGTTGGATGGATATCACGATCCGCTATGCTTGTTCAGCTGCAGATGGCTCGTTTCTCCTGGTGGATGTTCTGCAGGTGAAAAGGAATCGCACGGCCTTAAGCTTGTAACTCTGATTACTGTGCATGCTTTGGGTATATATTTTGGTTTTGTCAGTGTTGTCTAAGTTTGCGGTATTGAGCAGATATTTCACGTTAATTCCGCGATTGGTGGTTTTACTATATAGTATGATTTAGTACAGTATACTTGTTTTCTGCATTCCACACACCGTGTTCGACTATATATATATACATATGTATAGATCCAAGGTACGGAGCTCAATATGGTGGTCCCAACTTTGATGAAGCACAGCCCAGCGCAAGATTACATCTTGAAGAGTATTTTCACATAGATACAAGCTCAGCTTTGGCAGAAGATTTGCAAGAGATGGACTTTGATAGAGATTCGGGCCCAGGTGCTTACAAATGGTGCTCCCATGTAGATCCAATACTTTTGGGTTCCACCTCAGTGGTTCTGTATCCCCGGCGCGGGCTTGGAAGCTACCGTCCTGGAGATGGCTTGGGGCTTGTAAGCGGTTTTTCCACCTCTGGTGGCCAATTCATATACGATGGCTTGGTGGACAGATGGTTCCGCAAGAATTGGTTGAAGAAGCGGCGCTTTCGTTTCGTTGGTGATTCCGCAGTCGGACCTGAGGGTGACGCGCGCGTATTTGTCCTGAGCCCATCGCCGTCCCCTAACAGAAGTGCCATTCCAGTCGTTGAAACTTGTCCAAGTCACAGGTGTCTTATCCTGACGAGCTAAAGATCTTCTGACAATGCTATGGCTCTGGCTATATAGATCTATACAGTACTCGTATTGCTTGTGAAATAGCTTTTTTTCTGAGATTGACTGATCCGTAATTCACTATTGAGGACTTGGGCTTATGCTTGCTGGAGCTTGGGTGTCGCAGTTCCTCTGCAATTCAATGCCCTGAGTCAAGATTGCGTTGGGCAGTTGTGGCCCTCGGAAAGTTGCACTCCTGGAAGACAGCCAATCACTCAGAAGAGCGAAGAATTGAAAGGGGCCATGCGCCGCTTGGGGCATACGAAAAGCTTAAAAAGAGTTCAAGTGCGCTCTCAACCTGTTCATCAAGCGACTAATTATGTACTAAGGTTGGAACCTGCAATGCGTCCGTTTCCTTTGCTATTCTTGACACTGCAGCAGTCTCCTCGTTGCAAGAAAACCTGCAGGAGCTCAACCTGATTGACCGTTTCTTGCCCAGCATTAAAGACTGAAGTCGCATTTGCATGAGTCACAAACTCGAATTTATACTCACAGTTGTTGTCTGGCGGTGTGAATTGTTTATGCGCCCAGAATTGCTTAGTGGTTCCCAGAAGATTCCGAGACACCAAGCAGCTCAACAACTGACATGCAGGACGCTGTCGCAAATGTTGCCTTTGCAGTTCAAAGTAGAGTCAGCTTGCTTGTGATCCCCGGATGCTTTGCTATGTGGGCGGGAATTTCTTGTGAATGTGCTGTCAGTGATATCACAGCTGGTCAAAGCCGGACACTCAACAAAGGGACATGTTTCGATCCATGAATTCCGGGTCGCACCAGCTCCGGCCAGCATCTGTGTAAGTCCACCAAAGTTGTGAGCTACAGTATATGTATACTGCGTGGAAAACTGATGGCTATGCTATATCGGCTAAACCCTTGTTCCAGTAGCCAAACGATCAGGCCACTAGACTCTAGACGCGATGCTACAATACGCTGTAGCCCCTGCACCTGTTGGACAGATTCGACCAAAGAACTCAATTTTTCTTGGAGCCTTTTGCAAAGAAGGGTTTGCTCACTGCCGCTAAGAAAGCAAATTGGCCAAAGTCATGTATGATTGATGATAGTGCGTAAATTTATAGAGAGACAGAGAGAGGGAAGAACCGAAGAACATGCAAGTGCTTGTTTGATTACGTGGCATGTCCAACTGGTAAAGATCCGGCGAGATTTAGAGGAACATCCAACGCGTGAAATGATTGTGTTATAGAAAGCATGTTGTGGTTTCATGTCAACAGCATCCAAACAACGCACCTGGAAAGCAGTTGCAATGGAGCCTGCATCGCGTCTCACCAGGCTGGGCATGGCTGCTACTGTAGTTTTTGGCACACCCTCATAGGATGGAACAGTATCTCAGCCTTTTGCGATTTGGAGACATAAAAGACAGTTTGAAGAATAGACCATAAAATATACAGTAGTATAATATACCGTAGTATATATAGTTGATGCAAGTGTTTTCGATTTTGTTCAAACATGATGATATTATAAATGTATATATATATATACATTGTTTCCAGATGTTCTGGATTATAGTCGTGCTGTCTCCAGGCTTCTTGGGCAGCTGAGACCTGGCCTTCGGGAAAAGGTGCCAAGTAACGCTTTGAATGCCGTGAATCCACAGTGGTTTGTGAGAGCTAAGATGTCCTTCACATGCAACGTGCAGTCGAACCGGGGGAAGCTCACATGTGTTTGCAGAGGCCTTGCAGGCCCATGAGCTGAGTGCAAGGCCGAAGGAAGTGCAAGAATGATGTTGTCTACTTGTTGGGTTGACAGGGTGGACCGGAAGACGTGTAAAGATTGACTGGCAGTTGTGAGAAGACTCAAAACCTCAACTTTCAGCGCAAGAAACGCTTCGAGACTTTGTGACGTTCTTGGTCACGCTTGATGCCGGAGTCAAAATCAAGGAATCCAGACATGTCGGTCTCAAAGTCTCAAACCCAGTCTTCCTTGGAACAAGTTTGGGAGCGATGCTTGGCAGGTCCTTCAGTTCTCGACGTCCTCAGCAACTCCGTTTGCCTTTTTCAAAGGCGCGACGTTGCAGAGATACAAGTAATTGTTTAGGTCCGGGGGGTGGGGGATAGGCTGCTAGTACGTAGGTTTCACTAAGCTAACAAGTAAGGGGTAACTCCAACTACGAGGTCCACGGTGCGCCATGCATCAAAGAGCACTGCGATCATTACGCACGTTGATCCAGAACATCCACTGCGCAAGAAACTGAAACAGCTTGATTGGTCAGCAAAACCGCCGTGGTCCAACTACAAAACTTAAGTATACAGCTTAAGCACGGAGGCACAACCCTGAGCCTCAATGATTAGGTTCCTAGATGTTTCTACAATGATGTTAACGTATAGATATATATTTTTTGGTTTATGTTGTTTCGACCCATTGTGCCAGTCATGCTGACAGAGTTAAATCAGTCGAGGTTGTAGATGATCAAAGTGGGCCATTGTGATGTTGGGTCAAGAATGGCAGAGCCTTTGGAAAGCAAGAGCTTTGGGCCAAGGCTTCACTGGCGCAAATGTTGCCGCTTGTCCGACCTAACGAAACGTAATTGCGTCCTTGCTCCTAGTAGCGATGCCAGGAGCCCCTAGAATCGAAGCGTCCTTGCTCCTAGTAGTAAGGTCAGGAGCCCCTAGTAGCTTCCCTTTGGCATTTGCTTAAGTCTTGGGTTGAAGATGAGACTGCCCATGCTACACATTGCTGTTGCATGCTGTTGCTGCTTTGCTTGATTGCTTATTCTGCTCTGAAATTGCCGTACTGGAACCTGAAACCCCTGCATGTCAAACCTGATGGAATTCACAAACCTGCATAAGTTTCACGTCGTGTCAGTCGTCATGCTACTCCTGCTTCCAGACACATGATGTGCTGGAACACACAATAAAAGTAGCATGACACCCTTGTAGCATATAGCAGTTCAGTGCTTCCATACAGCACCACACTTCTGTTCGGCCCTTCTGAAAAGGCGCAAACTTTCCTTCTGACTGGCGGTGAGTGTTGAAAGATGGTGAAAGCAAATGCATCGTTTTCAAAATTATTGTCGTTTACTTTATACAAGGGCGTTTCATCCAAGAGTGTGATTTCAAATTTTCCTTGGAAAGCGATACGGGACGTCCAAAAATACAATGACAATACCCCTATTGTTACATGTGTTAGTTCCTTGATTCTTTTGAGTTCATCTTGGTATGTCCTCCTGCTACAGCAACTCTTCTGAGCATTTGCGCTCACGGGTCTGATCTGAAGGGCGTCACCTCATGAACTGGTTTGTTCTTGCAAGTGTCACAGGCAATTAGGGGTGATTGCTTGTGTTTGGAGGGCTGTGTTCGGGCTCTCGGCTCATGGGCTGGCCCCAGCCTATGAGGAAAGGCTAGGCTCCACCACTGAACAAGGTACGCCCTTGTCCGCCTGTCTCGGCTTGGAAAGGGGTTGGCTTCTTTTTGGCGTCGCGCAGCCCAATCGCAAACCTTACGAAAAGAAGAGTGAGCAGTGAGCAGATCAAGAAGGCCATGGCTGAGGCCGAAGGTTGTGGCAAAGCTGCAAGTGAGGCAGTCTTGGAACGACAAAATGAAGTGAAAGAGCTTTAAGAGCAGCATGCTGAAAAGGAGCGCAGGGCCAAAATGCTGTTGCCAAGGCCGATGTCCAGCCACGCCGCTTTGGTGTCGGCGTTGGCATCGGGCATGGGCCCATGACCAGCACGCAAGAAGAAAAAGGTCGCCAAGGTGCTGAGAAGCCTAATCCAGACTCGCCAGAGCCGAGCTGAATCTTGGCGAGAGTATGAAGCCACTATCCAGAAGAGTTGGACTATTTCGGGATTGCGCGAGCCAAGGGCCCAGGCAGGCTTCGAGCCTGGGATGATGAAGATGATGAGGAGAAGTTCAGTGATCCTATCAAGCCGAGAAATAAGGCACCTGTGCCAGGGCATCGTGCCAGCGGTGGCAAGGAGCATGCACAGAATGCGAAGAAAGAACAGTCAAAAAACCAGTTCTCGAGGCCATCGATCCCACTCGCTCCGTCCGACAAGGAACCTGAAGATTGAACAGCGCTTGATGTCCAATTTTCCTGTCAGGGCCTGGTGTCGAGCATGTCGTTCGGGGAAAAGCAAGGTCATACAGACGAGACTACTCCAATCGTTTTAGCAGACTGTTGTTTCATGAACTCACGATCCGATGACATACAATTGGGAACGACATCAAGAAATTGACACCCGAAAGTGGTAGTCCGGCATGATCCCGAACCGGCCTTCACACCACTCGCTGGGGCAGCTAAGAATGGTTTCGAAGGATCATTGAGAAGAGCCCAAAAGGATTCGAACCCAAAGGCGAGATTGAACGGGCGGCTCGAACTCTAAGGACAGGCAAGGACATTGCACGCTGCGCGCAGCGCTTGAGTCAAGCTAACGGCGAGAAACTTTCAGATGAAGCACTTGTTTGACATGGCTAGTCGAACACGCATTTCTCAAGTCAATATCAGGTGCACCTTGCGGTCCACGGGCTGTTCGTGAAGAGCCAGCCGCACTTCTCCCAAGTTTCTCCACTGCCAGTTGAAGAAAAGAGAAAGTCGAAAAGACTTTACATAGCGAAGAAAGGTTTAGAGAAATTTGGATGCCCAGCATGTGATGCCACACAGATTGGCAAAACAACCTCAAGCGCCCAACACGCAAACACACGCAGAGACAGATTCAAAAGAACAGATCAGAGAAGAAGAAGAAGAAGAAGAAGAAGAGAATCCAAGAGTATAGCAAGACATGCCAGCAGAGTAGGAGAAGCCATCACTGGTTTGCCACAGCCCGTTCGAGGCAAGCCGTTTTACATAGCTATGAGAGACCTGACTGGTCCACCGTATGGTGTCGGGTAACGCGAAACCATGTCAGCAATGGTCATTGAGAGTGGAGTCACGGCGCCAGATGTCGCCAGACCTTCCGCCAGAAGTACTCAACGCACCAGCCCCGCACAAGACGTAGCGACAGAACTTTTGGTATGAACCAGCAGCAGCGCCTCCGATGCCAGGAACATCACCAGCATCAACGTCAGGGATTCGCAGGCCACGCGAACATCGAGAGAAGAGAGAACATGGAGCGCAACAAGAACCAGCAGGTTCACCAACTGCAAAAGCAAGAATAGACAGAGACAGGAAGAGAAAAGCAGAAAGGCGAACGCGAAGATGAATCAGAAAGAACAAGAGACATTCAGAGCATAGAAATGGCATCAGAAAGCCGTATTTTAGAAGAGAGAGAGAGAGAGTGCTCCAGCACCGACGCAGAGAAGCCAGATGAAGCCAGTGTGTGAAGAGAAGATTTCATTGCCAGAAGAAATGGCTGATGAAGCCAGAGACTGGCGGTATTATGATAACATCAGCGGCAACGAACTTGTACCTGAGAAGGTGGCAGGGAAAGATGAGATCGACATTGTCGAATCCATGGGATTCGGGGAAAAGCTCCCAAGAAACCAAGGTCCAAAAGGAGCCAAGATCATTTGTTGATGTGAATAAGCAAGATGAAGCCAACCCTCTCTACAGGAGTAGATAAGCGGCGCAAGAAATCAAGAGAGGCACAGGCTTTGGCGAATTTTTCGCAGCCGCGCTAGCTTTGAAGCTACTGCTTACATTTGCATAGTCAGCGACAGCCTTCCATTGGAGAAAGGTGAGCGAAGAAAAGCAAAGCAATCTTATTTGAGATTTCTTGCTGTCAAGAGAAAGCATTTCTACTCTAAAGTAACACGAGAACTCTATGTTGAAATTCCTTCAGAAGGCAAGAAGCCAGAAGATGGAGATGTGTTTGGAAGATTGGTCAGAAGCTTGTATGGCACTAGAGACGCACCCATGAACTGAGAGCACCAGTCGGAAGTTTTGAAAACATCAAATTGCTTCACAAAACTTTGCAAATCAGCAGCAGAAGAATGGCAAGTTGTGGAACGAGGAATTCTCAGCCCACCTGGAACACCAAAAGCCAGCCAACAGATCAGAGCGCTGAACCGCATCATCGCCTGGTCGAATGAAGGCGTTTGGCGGCGACCAGACCCAAGACACTTGATCATCAAATGGCCAGGTACTGTTCAACCAGGAAAGGTCAAGCCACCATTGGCCAAGCCAAGCCAAGAGCAACAACTGCAACATGAGGAGGTTTTTTGAGCGCTGAAGACGCCAGCATGTACAGATGTATAGCATAGCAACGAGAGCAGCGTACTTGGCGCAGGACAGACCTGACCTTCAAACAGCCACGCCTTCAATTGGTGGGTCTGCGAAGCCCAACTTCAACGCACTGGAACACGCTGAAGCGACTAGAAGCGCCTGCGACCAATTCAACATGTGGTCAGACGCCGACCATGCAGGGCGCATAAGGACACGAAAGAGCGGATCAGGAGGCGTACTCATGCCCGAGAAATGTCTCACGGTGCGCAGCAAGGGCCAAGGCGTTGTCCCTTAGCAGCGGCGAGTTAGAGTACTATGGACTTGTTTAAGGATCATGTCAAAAGCTCGACGTTGCGCCAACTGCGAAGGATGGGGCCTACTTCCCAACAAAGAAGTGCGCTTCTGCTGGAATAGCTATGGGAAGGCGTCGGGGCCTGGGACGTGCCAAACACGTGGACACCCAATACGCGCACGGCTAAGAAGGAATTTCACCTCAAGAAAGCAGGCACTGATCACACGTTAGCCGATGTAGTCACGAAGGCCGTCGCCGAAGAGAAGAAGAGCACTGCCATGAGAGGCATGAATTTCCATTTTTGGGAAGGTGAGCATCAACTCACACTGAGACCTTGAGTCAAGAGTAGGGACTTCTTCATGGCCAAGATGTACTCAAGGGCTTCTAGCTAGTTCACTCTTTGCACTAATCCTGACTCGCTTAACTTGTGGGAGATGTTAAACTCGGGAGGCATGATCAGATGTAGCACCAGCTGCATGTCATGGTAGATGTTTGTGCAAGTTTCACTGCAGCCGTTTCTGACCTATCCTTTGGGTACTGTGACACAGGGTCACTACGTTGGTGAGCCCTGATACCTCCGTCCACGGGAGGTGCTGATTGCAAACCGTGGTGAGATTGCAGTGCGTGTGGCACGCGCTCGGGAACTCAGTTGACACGACTGCTTTTGGCAGGCGCATTGAGCAGACATAGGGCACCATAGGGCCATAGAGTATGGTCAATCTTGGTAAAAGTCTGCGTGAAAATGAGGCTTGCCACGAAGAAGGTCTCACAACAGTTTGGTCCTCGGCATATCAAATCTCAAAGGTCAGCGTTTGGTTAGTTTTTCCGATTGAAAGGAGTTTGATGGAGTTTATGTCATGTTGCACAGAGGGAAGGTGATCAACCGGATACGTGCTGATTGTTTCCACAAGGTCGGAATCTATGCAGAGGAGGACAAAAGTTCCCTGCATGTCCAACGAGTCACAGAGGCTTTGAAGGCAACGTTTGCGCTGTATGCCTGTCTGAAGCCATGGCTAGGGTTTGGTTTCTATGTGACAGCCTGATCCCACACCCTGGATAGTGAGGAGAGCATCAGATATACTGTACATAGACCAGTTGGGAGCATCTGACTTGGTTTTCGTACATCCCCTACATGTGAACCTCCCTTAAGACCTGTGTTTGTTTTGAGTTGATAGAGGAGGACTGGCAAGTTGAAAAGAGACCATACAACAATCAATGCACGAATTCCAATTGAGGGTGGTGTATGGGGTTATTTTGGATTATTTTGGTTTGTTCGGGGCTCAATCATTTTTGTGTGTCTACATGAAACAAACGTTGTGAAGAATAGAGCCTGACCATCATTCACATCGTCAAGGAATCAAGGAAGGCCTTGCTACTGTTCGATCTTGTTCCATGACTGAATGCGTAACCTACGCTGTCGTCATGTTCCTGCAAAGCGTCATGCACTTGCATGCCCTCTTGAGAATCCAAGGAACTGCCCTGGTTCTTTGTATAATTTTGTCAGGTATTCTCAAGCCGTCGTCACGTCATCATGTTCTGGTTTTGCGAGGTGACCTCGTCCAAGCCTGGGCCAATCGCCCCTTACCTTGACGTGCAGAGCGTGGTGGAAGCTGCAAAGCTGGGAAGCCCGGCTTTGCTGAACAAGATCCCACTGCCACAATTCTGCTGAACAAGAGGCCTTTCTGAGAGCTTTGCTAATCTTCATGTGACCGTGCCTCTGCGAGAACCAGTGCATAAAGGCATCTTAATGATGTGGTCAGTAGCACTAACTGAATGGCAGTCAATGTAGTAGTCATACTTCTGCTCTTGGATTCTCAATGGGACAGATCTGGATGGCAGCAATAAAGAAAGACCATCGGTCAATGTGCCAATCTCCCCTCTCTACCAGCTGCTTCATCAATGTCAAGCCGAAAAGGCGTAGCGGGGCTGAAGCGGTGCATCCGGGCTATGGCTTTCTGTCCGAAAGTGCTGATTTCGCAGCGGCCTGCGAGGCGAGCCTGAGGCGAACATGTACAAACGGCATTCGAAAGCTTGAACAGTTCTTGTTTTGTTGTCTTTCTTGAAGTTTATATGATTTTGTCACTTGAAACCTCAAGAGGAAGCCTTGAAATTGCACCCAATATTTTAGTGTGTGCTGTTTGGGGGGGTCCAGGTCTAAGGCTCCATCCATCCATCATCCAAGACCTTCTCTCCCCAATGGTGGGGGCCATATGGTCACACTTGGGCATACTCGAGAGTAGCGGTTGCAAATGGTGAAGATATGCGCAAACATCGCGCAAACACGGCTCTACTTCAGCTGACATCTCCGTTACCCAGATCAAATTGAGCGCACGCAGGTAGTCAGGTAGTCGTAGTTCTATCCGCCAAACTGAGGACGCAGGAATTACCTTCATTGGTCCGCGCCCGGAGACAATCGCCTTGCTTGGAGACAAGGTGCCGCCAGAGTTGACTCCATCAACTCTGTGACAACCTTCCAGTTTGTGTTAGGTGCGTGCCCGGGAGCTGGCAATGGCCAGTGACGTGCCGGTCTGGCACTTGGTGTCATAAACTGGCCTTAACCATGCCTTGCTTTGACATCCGCAATCGCCTCAAAGGTTCTTAAAGGATCACCTTTTCTGAGCTCCTGGGTGGCTGCGAGGGAATTCTTGGAGCGCGAGAGCTTGCCGCTGCCAATTATTTTCAAGGCTGCCTTCGGTGGCGGTGGCCGTGGCATGCGATCTTGGGACTGACAATGGCGAAATTAGAGTCTCTTTGTGTTTCAGCTTGCCATTGCGAGTTGTTTAACAAATCCAAACTACCATGTGTCCTTGGATGAACACATGTTCACATTTTTGGACACCCGAGGACTAGTGCGGGAAGACGACGAGCTGAACGAAGCCTACGAGCCGTGGCCTTGTTGATGCTCCGACGGGCCATGCTGTACAATGGTTGTACCGCGTCGCATCCTGCATTCTGCCAAACCGCTCAAAGGATCTCAAAGGTATATCTCGTTCCACCATCCGTAAGCAGCACTATTCCTCAGCTACTACTGCTACTGCTACGTTGGGAATTACCTAGAACAGAACAGGGTCAGTGCATGCGCAAGTTTGCAAAGATAGAATGCTTTCAGGATTAGATCTCTTGCAAAAAACAATTCTACTAACTACGTGGAAGGCGCGAGACATTCCTGGAACTCTGGGCTGCATATTCGTGGACGTTTCGCCAGTATGAAAACTAACCGTAACAAAAGGCCACAAACCTCCCAGAACTTCGTGGAATGTATTTTTGATTCTGATGCACTAACTTCGCGGTTTGCCACACGCCAGCCTGACAGCCTAAGTAAAAAACCTAAGAAAACCAGAGTTGAAACATGTAACGTGGTCTGGTCATCGTTATTAGGTTGGAGGCCATGGCTACAAGGTTGGAAGGCTACAACCTACTAGGTTGGAGGCCATCGCTCTTGGTTCACACAGGTCAAGACTCAAAACTTACGAGCGGTTCACACAAGTCTAGACTCAAAACTGCAAGTTATATAATTTAGTTACATTCAAGTGCAAGTTGCATTTAGTTACATTGCGTCCAAACTTCCATCAGTTGATTTCCATAGCTTCATTGGCGTGACTAGGCGATCAACCGTCACTCCCTGCTTTTAACACCAATAGGCGACCTTTGATTCCAAGGTATTCACTCACACACACACACACTCTGACATTGGTTTGCAGTTAGCTCAGTTCCCAGGTGGAAAAAAGTCAAAGAACGGCAAGGTGGAGCGTCCGATCACTTGAAGGTGATTGAAAAATGTTTCTCTCACAACTGCGGTGACAGGCTGCAAGACGCGCGGCTGCTGAAAGTGGCTGAAAGAAAATGGTTTGAGGGGTAGGTAGCATGAAGAACCATGGAAACAAAAAGAGCAAATTGGACAGCGTGTTCAACAGCTCCAACTTGTTGCAGGTACACACGGGTGATCAATCCGTGCTTCCCACTCCAAGGCATAGCTTCGTTGCACTGAGTTTGCCAAGGAGTGCTCAGTGCCCCTGCTTGGTAGTACAATTGGTAGGAAGTAACCCTTGGAGACAGGGGGTGACACACACACGGTGCCGCTTTGCGGCGCTCGTGCGAAGAGCCTGAATAGTTACCTAAAAAGCCTTAGAAACAAAAGAAAGAAACACAGAAAGAGCAGCGCTAAGAGGGCAAGAGAGAAAGGTAGGAGTAGAAAAAAGTGAATACTTAGCCCTTGACTGGGGTAGGGAAACGAGCCTCAAGAGCAACCTAAAGAGCCTGAGAGAAAGCCCAAGAAACGACCAAAAGCGCAAGAAAGAAAGCGGGGCGGGGGGGGCAGGGAGGTGTATGTACATGTGTGTGTGTGTCCATGTGTGTGTATGAATACTTAGCACTCTAGAATTACTGATTACTGAGCGGAAGTGAATTAAATGCAATAGTTAGGGAGCGGGACTTTGGTCTTAGACCGCCCGGGTAGAGAAGACTAGAACAGGGACAACAAAGGGAAAGGCGCCGGCACACAAGTGTGTCGAGTACCATTTCCCTGTGTTACCCTAATTAGGTAGGGAGTAGAACTCGGCGGGGGGGGGGTTGGGAAACCTGCCTCAAGTGAGTTGAATTCCGTTTTTTAGCCCGGCGGCTGTGTTATCCGTGAAAGCCCGGCGGCCACAGATTCGGACAATTCAGTGGCGGTAGTGAAACAGAAGCTGTTGACGTGATCCACGATGAAAAGACGATGGTTCAGTAACACGATTTCCGGAATGAGAACGGCACCTCCTTGCGGAGGATCACACCCAGCACCCAAGTGGGACGGCTGAGCGGTTCACACTCTGACATTGGTTTGCAGTTAGCTCAGTTCCCAGGTGGAAAAAAAGTGAGAGAACGGCAAGGTGGAGCGTCCGATCACTTGAAGGCGATTGAAACACGTTTCTCTCACAACTGCGGTGACAGGCTGCAAGACGCGCGGCTGCTGAAAGTGGCTGAAAGAAAATGGTTTGAGGGGTAGGTAGCATGAAGAACCATGGAAACAAAAAGAGCAAATTGGACAGCGTGTTCAACAGTTCCAAATTGTTGCAGGTACACACGGGTGATCAATCCGTGCTTCCCACTCCAAGGCATAGCTTCATTGCACTGAGTTTGCCAAGGAGTGCTCAGTGCCCCTGCTTGGCAGTACAATTGGTAGGAAGTAACCCTTGGAGACAGGGGGTGACACACACACACACTTAGGATAGGGTGTACTGAACTGCTAGCGGTGCCACACGGGTTCCATTTCCTAAGAGTACCGGTAAGGACCATCGGAGCCTGGAGGTCTTCAAAGGGAGAAAAGGCCCAAAGTGGAAGAAACCAATCGACGAACGCGGATCGAACAGGCTGACGACGTACGCTCATGACTGCCGAGTGCATTAGCCCTGTACGAGAAGATTGGAGTGAAAGCTTGTCAACGCCACAACCAAGCAGGTACGTGGATTCTGCGTTCAGAATCCATATCAGTGACTTGTAACAGCCTCTTCGTTGGACTGCCACTGGTACAAGCCAGGCAGTCCCCCTGCTGAAAAAGAAAAACACAATCCGACTGGATCCCTGTGACTACAAGGGGCACACACACACACGCCTCTCAATGGGAGGCATATGTGTGGCCTCCATCCTGCACGGAAAGGAGGCACCCCCATCCTACCCGGAAAGGGGGCTTTGCCAAAGCACATGCGCGTGCAAAAGGGGCGAATGAACGATGAACAAGACAAGACAGATAAAAGGTGTGTGGTTGCCAATGAAGGTAGAACCAGGTGAAGAGGGACAACCGATGAGCAAAACCTCGTTGTGCCAAACCTAGTTTGTTGAAGCCTAGTTAGTTTGTTGAAGAAGGTACGCGTGCGTGTGCACAAACTAGGGCCCGCACAAGAAAGAGCGCGCGCAAAAGCAGAAAAGGGTGAGGATGACAGGACATCAAAGAAAAGAGGGAGACAGTATGTGGGGGGGCCAGTGAAGAGGGAACCAGATGAAAGGGAACAGCAGCCAAGCCTCGTCGAACAGCCTGTTGTAAACGCCGCGTTTGTTTGTAAACACGCCGCGCACAAGGGAAGGAGGGGAAGGAAAGAAGAAAGGGAAGCGGAGAAAGGAAAGAAAACGATGATGCTCTCAGCTTCGACCCAACCGTCCACAAACACCAAAGAGGAGGAGAAGGGTTCCCAGCTAGGACGCAAGCATCCAGGGAAACCCGCGTAGGAAAGCGAAAAGGGAAGAAAGAGGAGGAGAAAGAATGAAAAAGTGGGGTAGGTGTTCCCAGCTACGACAAACGCGTCCAAGGACGCACGCCTGGATATTGCCTCCACACACACCCAAGAGATAGTAAAGAAAGAAAGAAAGAAACCGTGGATAGTCTGGGTATTACATCCAGGGAAGCCCCAAAGAGGGGAGGGAGAGAGAAAGAGGGAGGTGAAATAAGGTTGGGACAGATCCCAAGAGATCTTGAGAGATCTCGAGTTCAATCCATGTCGTCAAGTCTTAACCAACCTCCACCCTCCTACGCTCGCTGCGAGCTGCTCCGTTCTCGGACATGAGGGGGAAGGAGGCAAACCGTTGCTTGGCAAGGCCACTCTTCGGGTACACCCTGTGCTGGCGTGAAGCCAGACACACTCGAAAAATGTGTACGGAACTGATTGCCGTTTGCCACATGCCAGCCTTAGTTAAAAAAACTAAGACAACCAGAGTTGAAGTTGAAGCATGCAATGTGTTCTGGCCTTCGTTATTAGGTTGGAGGCCATGGCTACAAGGTTGGAGGCCATCGCTCGCGGTTCACACAGGTCTAGACTCAAAACTGCAAGTGGTTCACACAAGTCAAGACTCTAAACTGCAAGTTGCATGTAGCTATATACATTCAAAATTCAAGTGCAAGTTGCATCTAGTTACATTGTCGCTCCAAATATATTGAACTGAGTTGCAAATAGTTGCACTCAAGTGCAACAATCTTAACAAGGAGTTGTAACATTAAACAGGTACGGAAGTTTGCGACCAAACTTCCATCCAGTTGATGTCCATAGTTTCTTTGCCGTGACTAGGGAGTCAACCGTCCCCCCTGTTTTAACACCAATAGGTAACCTCAATGTATCCACACACACACCCTCCATTTGGCTTTGCCTGCTGAGACATTGTCGAGCCAATCATTTAACATCGCTTAACCAAAAAACATGTTTTGCTGTATCAGACTATGCGCAAGTTGTCTTGGGATGCATCACTTACTCAGGAACGGAATTCCAAAAACGAAGTTTGAAAAACCTCGTGTTGTTTATTAGCTGGGTGGGGGCCTTCCAAGCGATGACAGCTCTACTTACTGAATTTGAACGGCTTGCAACTGCAGCACTAATCAATAATTTGGGAATAAGAGCAATGATGTTTGGACCTGCAGTGTGACTTACTTCTGATTGTGTGCATACCACTAGCCGCAACTAGCCTGCCGCCTTGCTTTCAGACAAAAAGGTTTTTCAGCTTGCCACAAAATGTGTTTATGTGTATGCATTTCCTTGGTTTCATGAAACCAAACCCAAAATCACAGGTTGCTTGTTTCACCAAAGTTTGAGCCAACTTGAAGAGGTTTTTCCCTTGCCCACGCAAAAGAGAAAAAGATCTCAAGACATATCAGATCAGAGGTCAAGTGGCCTTTGTTTCTCCAGGTGCAAAGAAATATCACCCGGAAGATCCTGCTTGTAGAAATGCATATTCTAGCAGCCTCGAAGTCTTTGCCAAGATTGCCTTCCGCCAAATTTTGCTGAGGCGCTGCACCAGCGAGGCCAAAACGGCTTTTGGTAACGGTTCCGCCTGATGCTCAGATCTCGATTTGCAGGTTGCAGCCGGAACACGTTTATTAGGGTATTTAGGGTGTGTTTCAAAACGGTTGAAAAGGGCTGGCACTATTTCGGTATGAAGATGTCTGGAGCTGATGATAATTGAGGGATATTGAGGGAATCTGAGGGTTTTTGGGCTGGAAAGATTGCACCAATGTCAAGTCCCCTGCTAGAGCGATCGGACGCCACCCTGCAACTGGATATGGCTAGGTTCATTGAGGCTCAAAGTGTTCTCATTATCTACCAGGGTTCACGCGTGAGACCAAAGTTTCAGACCCGCGCTCGGCGATGAACAGAAACACTGACACCTTCACATAGTTATATAAACGTGTCTACTTGTGGCAGGTCTTTCTGGAAGAGTTCATGGAAGATGCTCGGCATATTGAGGCAAGGCCCCACCCCGAACACATGCATCATGCAGCTTGCAACAACGCATAATGTTCTGTTTCAATTGTTTTGTTTGGATGCGCAGGTTCAAGTCCTTGCCGATGGGCAAGGGGGTTGCGCTCATTTGTATGAACGGGATTGCAGTGTGCAGCTCCGTAACCAGAAGGCGGCACATCAGCTGGCGGTTGCAAATTCAAGAGCCCTCAAGTTGCATGGGGAACAGCATGCCTGCAGACACTCAGTTGCCTTTGCTCCACAAACGGGTGTTCTTTTTTGGTCGATAAGGTTTTCCAGACGCGTTTTCAACCGCTTCACAAGGTGGTGGAAGTGGCTCCTGCGCGCATTCATCCAACGTCACCTGACTGAATCGAGTGTGTCAGGAATGATAGCCAGCAGATTTCAGAGCGCAGTTAGTTTGTGGCACATTCTGAAGCCGTGGCCTTTTGTTTGCTGGGATGAGGGTGTCCTTTGTTTCCATTGTGCAGTGGGAAAATGCCTTTAGACGTTCAAAGTGATTTTTCAAGTGCCAAGTCACATCGAAGGACCAAGTTGCAGGTGTAGTTTTGCCACCAATCGTGTCAGGAGCGTTCTGTGTTGAAAAACGTCCATTTGTTGAGCTCTCGTGTGGAATTGGGCGCGTGTTTTTTGATGTTTTCTGAACATGGTCGAAGTATCCACAGGTTTGCGAGGTAATCAGTGCTGCATATCTCGTTCCTCCAACCATGCCTTGTTTAGTTTTTATCTGCTTCAAGACTTCGACCTTGTGTTGCAGAAGACACGAACCGTGTCTCCTCAAGTTGTTTCCAGTCCCGATTTTTGCCTTCCACTTACAGCCTGCTGCTGCCCGATCTCCCAAGCGTGTAGCTGCTGCCTGCTGCTTGCCACCTTGCCCCTCAGGTATGTCTTAGAAAGGAACCATTAATTAACACATACCTTTTTCATCCTTCTTCACAGGCGCCCAAGCAATCCAAACCTAACGAAGAGGGCACATTGACATAGAATGTGATAAGCGTGACTTGTGGCGACTGCATTCATGAACTCCTTACCTGTGTATATGTCATATACACATGCGCTATTTAAGCAGCAATCCTGGAGGGGAACCCTTGGAAAGAGTACAGTATTGATTCGGTGCTAGGTTGCTACACTAATGTAGATGCTGAGGATCACTTTGTCATGAGACTTTGGTCATGCTGCATCTCCTGGAAAGGCTACGGAAGCGGATCTCCGAATGCGCTGTGCGATTGCTGCTGAAATGTCAATATCGGGGAGTGCCCTGCCTTGAGCTTCGTCACAGGAGTGCAGTTTTGCACGCAAGCTTATTGTCCAGTCTTTGCTGTCAAGCCCCCGCAATGTAGACTTGTATTGACTGTGAATTTTGCGATGCTGAAGGTGGGCACTGTGGAGTTCATGGTGGCTGGCAGCCTTCAAGATCCTGATGCGCGCTTCGTGTTTATGGAGGCGCTCTGGACGCGTTAGGTTTGAACAAAACATTCCACAATAAACGGTTGAATCTTTGCTTAGTTTGAGTTTACACATCGCAAGCGTGACAGGTGAACCCGCGAATCCAGGTGGAACACACTATCACCGAAGAGGCCGAAACAGATGTACTCTTGTTGAGAATCTCCGGAGAGTGTTATGCCAACTTCCAATTTGTCAGGCCACTGATGTGGATATTGTCAAGACGCAATTGGGCATCGCAGGTGTTCTTGGTCCTTTTGCAAAGCATGGTTCTTTGATCGGTGACCAGAATATTTGGCTCTTGTTTGTCATCATGTCCTCACCCAAACATAAGTTTAAGACCTCTCACGGATTCATGAAGGTGGCTTCAAGCTAGAGGAGCTCAGCTTGGGCCCAGGCGCTTCGAGCGGAGAAGATCATCAGCAGTTCCGCGCAGATCCCCAATTGGTCAAACTCAACTTCGGGCCTCTTGAAGATAGAGCTTCTATAATGAAATTCAAGGTTCTGGATCAACCAGTCCATCAGACGTCCTAACTTTTGTGAACCATACAAAAGAATGCATAGCGAAGAGTTCCTGTTTATAGTCTGGGGTGGAGGCTGCACCCAGGTCTCGCCGTGTTGTAGTCGCATTGTCGTCGCAACAACCTGCGTTCGGCAAAAAAAAAAATCTGTTGGGGGAAGCGCATGGAAAAATTGGTCTTGGATGGATGGACAGGCGTCCGATTTGTGTGAATACCGTAGGAACGTGATGCCGTGATGCGCTCAAGAGTGAAGGATGTTCTATTGCGCAGGCGCAGCGTTTCGTGAGGACGGGCGTTGAATGCAGCGACTTGCTCTTGAGGGTCTTGCCTTGACAAGCCTCAGGCAAAGTTGCGACTGTGGCAGTCGTGCCTGTGCTCAGAAGTCGAACTCATACATGTGGCGCGATGCAAATTTTGCTAGATGCACCAATGCGTAGCGTAGTCCCTTTTCGCGGCACGATAGTATTTTGTGGGTGTTGTTGCGGTGTCAAAGCATGGGGCGCGGCGCCGCCTGATTTCATTTAGTCGGCACCACGCAGCACGGCGAAATTCACTCCCGCGAGGTCACTCCATTTCCACTATTATCGAAGGGAGCGCATCGCTGGTGGGCGCGATGTTTTCTGGTGTCCTTTCGCGACAGCGCAAGCAGGAAAACAGTTCTTGCGGTAACTGTTTTCAGGAAACATAGTCAAAGCCCACATCTGGAGAGCAGTTTGGGTTTGTTTGCAAACATGAAGCGGGGCGCATGGAAGTGCGATTTGGCGTCGCATTTAAGAACAACCATTTTCACAAGCCACCAAATGGAGTTTGACAATGGTGTGTGCAAATAGTTACAGTCATAGGCAACTAGACTGCCCCAAGTTTCGGAATGTTCGAGATACTGGTACAGTAAACTTGCAGGTGCAGTTGCCATGTCATGTTGCGATATCTTCAACACGTTTCTATACGGATGGGTCATGAATGTGATACACCGGAGGTCCCATATTTAAGACACGCTGCGTGGGCTATAACATTTTTCAGCAAACGCCAACGACCTTTCCCCCGACGACTTCTGTGTCGTTCAGGCTTTGCCAAAATAGAAATCCAAAAAAATGGAGCTGGACTAAGTGTATACGTTGCCTTTTTATGTGCTGTTGACATTGTCCCATTCAATACCCCAAGGAGCTAGGGCGGGCGGACGGACTAGCAATTGCAGGAGCTGACTTGGAAGCCTCCAAGCTTCGAGGTTTTGCCATCCAAGCTCGAGTCTCACTGGCACCAGGCAGTTCAAAGGTTGTTTGACCTTAAGTTTGTTGTGACATGTTGCGACAAGCCTTGATCACTTTGCGCCATGAAGAAAATGAAGTTCGCTGTCAGTCTTCATTTCGCAGGTGGCAATGAGGTCTCCAAGTATCAAGAGCCTAGCGGCGAGGGTGTGCGTGTGGACGCAGCGCTTTATGCTGGTGGCAAGCCGAGTATGCATTATGCACGCTGGGGCATGTTTAGTGCGCAGACGCAAGGGATGCTGAGCAGGTTGCAACACAGGCCCACCACACGGCGGCGGCGGTGGTGGTGGCGGTGCGGTGATGTGGTGATGATGGTGGCGGTGACGGTGGTGATGATGATGATGATGGTGGTGGCGCTGGCAGCGGTGGTGGTGGCGGTGGTGGTGATGTGGCGATGGTGGTGATGATCGTGGTGGAGATGGTGGTTGTGATTGTGGTGGTGATGGTGGGGGCAGTGGATGGCGTGGTGGTGATATTGGTGGTAGGTGTTAGTGTTAGTGGTGACGGAGTAGGCTTAGAATTGAAGGTCTGGGTCGAGAGCCCTAGAGGTGTTTCCCCAGATAGCGTGAGCTATTGGGGTTCTTACTTCAAGTATAGCAAGAGATGCATGTGTGCGCTTTCGAGCCTGGGTGCTGCAGGGTGCCGCTGCTGTGTGTGTGTGTGTGGGAGCTTGGGCGCTGGTGCCGCTGCTGTGTGCGACTGTTGTGTGCGCGTGGGAGCTTGGGCGCTGGTGCCGCTGCTGTGTGCTGCTGCTGCGCGCGTGTGTGAGCTTGGGTGCTGGTGCCACTGCTGTGTGCTGCTGCTGTGTGCGCGCGGGAGCTTGGGCGCTGGTGCCGCTGCTGTGTGCTGCTGTGTGTGTGTGTGTCCACTCCTGTTTCCAAGGACACTAATCTAGCTAATTCTTTTCCTATGACTTTACGAACCTTTGTACAGCACCAGCAGGGGGGCAGTGAATCTCATTCCATCCACTGCCCAACGAAGACGGTGGTTTGAGATTGTGAAATGACTCCGGGACGCTGGAGTCACGTACCCGCCAAATTGTTTCACTTGATTCCTCAACGATTTGTTCAAACATTCTGGTCGACCGACTCAGCACTTTCTTTTAGTCAAGGTCTAATTTGCAGTGATTGTAAAGTGCTAATGCTCACCGCGGACCGACTGAAGACAAGCTCCACGGAGCAACCTTCTCAAGTGTGTTTCCGCAGCTTCTTCCCACTGTGGTCAGCTGTGTGATCCCTGCGGGGCGCCGTTACTGCAAGAACCTTTTCACTCCTCATCGCAGGAGTAAGTTTCCTGAAGTTTTACTGAAGTTCACTCGACCGAATTTTCCTGCTCGAAATCAGCTTGCTTGGATCGTCTCACCCGTCACACGTGAAGTTTACTGCAGAGTTCACTGGAACTTACACTGAAATATACTGCAGAGTTTGACTGCATCAGTTTCACCTGAGAATCCTTCCCATATTAATTTTTCAATTTTCAATTTTAGAGATTTAATTAGAGTCTGTTGCACACTCCTCCACTTTGCAGCATCATATTGTATTCTTTCGTATAACTTTTTCAAGTTCAAGTTCAAGGACTGCTTTGATTTACATATCTACATCCATACATCGACCTCATTCGATTTGCCGAGAAGCCATGACGTATCCCTGGCCGTATTCACTACCACCACACCTACAGCCACAACCACAGCCCACACAGCCACACTGGTTCCCTTACCCACCACAAGCTCCGCCGCAACCATACCCAACACTGCCACCAGTTCCATCACATCATCCAATACCTCACGGTTATCCACATCCCACGACTTTTCCACCTCAAGCACACTATATGCAGCCACATCCGCTACACACATCACATTATCCAGTACAACCTACCGTTCCCTTTGACAACACCCACCATCCACAACCGCCTCCACTACCCACAACACAGCCAATGCAGTCCCACGCCCACACACCTCCAACCCAGTTACCCCAACCACATGCACCACACTCCACAAGCCCGTCACTACCACCACCACAACCGTCACCTCCCTCAACAGATCCAGTACACACCACTACTCCCACAGGAACCGCTTTACCACAGCCGGCCACATCCGCTCCACCACACACCCAACCAGCTCCCACTGAGCCCACTTCAGCGTCCAACAACACACCTGCTCACCCTCCACCACCACCCAGCTGACACGCACAACAAAACCGACACCATCCATTGCGCCCACACTCAGCACCACGAGAGGCATATGGCGAGACCCAGATCGATCGCCTCCACGTACACCTGAACACCACCGCTATTCAGCCTTTCCTACCATTCCCACCAGTGCACCATCACAAGCCACATCCAGATCCAGGAGCCGCACTCGTTCAGCGCGCTCTCCACGCTCTCCACTGCCACGACGACGAGGCTCAGCTACCCAATCAGTTGCCAGTTCACAACCACATTCCACGCCTGCTGACAGGCACACATCACCACCACCGGACTTGATCCAGGACAAAACCCACACTTCCACCAAAGGCATCACTGTTGCCACCACTTCCAAACACACTCCAGGATCAGCCCACCGTACCTCTGGCATCATACTCAAACCCAATCCACTTTTCACACCCAAGCACACCACCAAAAAGGCACCAACACCACCGCCCGCAGTACCACCAACTATACCAGTCCAACGACGACCTCGCAACCTACCTTCTCCAAAATTTCAACCACCCACTGATCCAGCCCAATTGGATGTCTTCCAATGGATCAACCAGTACGCACAATCACTCGACGTTCACAATGAACCCATGATCTCCTACGTGGCGAAAGTGCTCAGCGCTGCCCATCCCAACAGCACCCACTTTACAGACATGCAACTTCTCACACACGCGAAATGGAACGATGACACCAACAAAGATGAACATCACTCATTCCTACTACTCACCATCCCTACACTTGCGAGCAGGGGCGATGCCGCAATCTTCCCTCCAACAAGGAGAGAAGCTTTGAATATACCACCGATTAAACACATCTTTGCGGCACATGTTAGCGAAGAGGGAAACATCATCTCCATACTTGAAGCAGGAGAAATCGTGAGATCCGTTCTGCGCGACGACCACAAAGTAGGTTTCTTTTGCCAGGCTTTCGAACTATCGAACTATGAGCCACATGATGTTGCCGAAGCCGCACGAGTGTTATTCAACGCTTCAAACATGGCTAAGAACCGCAGCGGCCTCATCTTGACGATCAAAGCTTATGGCCATGGCCAGAAATCTCTCATGGGGGCGAATCCGCTGCGAATGACCTGCTGCTCCGCGGCGAAGGGATTGTAAAATATACTCCAGGAAAATGCTGGGTAGCACACCCGAAGCATTCAAGGATCGAAGGGATTGCCTGGAAAAGCGGCGCAAAGCCACCGCTCAGCTTCATTTAATTCAACCCTTCCAGCCCAGGAGGATCTTTTTTCACCCTTCATTTCGGTTGACGCCAAGTCCTCAAAATACCCACACTGCTTGCTTTCCAATTCTTTTGCTGTTTCACCGTTCTTTGACAACCTTCATCTATTTTCAAGATGTTATTTGCGCATGTCTCTATGCAGGGAATACGACCTTGAAGTCACCATGACGGACGACATTTCAGACTTTTCACATGCACAGACTGGATTCAGCAAGACATATTGTATCGCACCAAGAGATCTTCTACATTTATTTCACTCCCTTGCTTTGTACCGCAGCCATTTTACATTATCCAAACTATTCAGCACGACCCTACACCGCTGAACAAGCCATACCGGTTCTACGAAGAGTACCACGAGTATGACATCCCCTTTGGACACGGAATTTGCACATCGACTCCTTCTGGCTCACCTTCAAGCAGCCACATCTATCGCCACCACGTTTCAAAACCTACCACCTTTTACACCACATCCACAACCACCACCGCCTGCCAACCAATCCATTTCCACTCCGACCTCTACTAAACGATCACGCAGACGCACTCCACCACCGCCGCCACCACCTTCACCACCACGCAGTCGCAGTCCACCACCCACCACAGGCAAATCACACTTGGGTTGTAAACTAGAACCTTCACCCTCTTACACACCCACTACACCGCATCAGCACTCACCAGCACAACACAAAGACACAAAGACTCAACAACAAGAGACACACCAAAACAACACATGATTCCAACAGCTTACACCACCGGTCACAACAATCTCTCTCAACAGCTCACCCTCCACACCTCCGCCGCCGCCGCCAACACCGCCACCACCATCTCCATTACCTCCACTTAAACCACAACAAGCTCTCAGCGACTCCCCTCCATATCCCGACAATGGAGGGTGGGAACCCAGCGATGACGAAAAATTGGCTTCATTCAAGCTCAACAAGCGAGCTCGCCCCAGTTGGAAATACATTGCCAAGGCACTCAACAAAACACCTTTTGATTGCAAAGGTCGCTGGCAAGTCTTGCAGGTTCTTTACACACCTCAACCACCAGAGAGCCCAGAAGCAGAAGCAGCATCACCTCGTCACACCACTCACCAAGCCGAGGCAGCAGCACCGGCCACACGAGATGACAGAAGCCTCAGCACCATCAGACAAAGCGACAGAGACCAACAATGCCATGGACTCACATCGAGATCCATCTGCACACGACTGACAGCAGCTTACACCACCACTACTACGTCCCAGGACTACTTTGCGCCGAAGAACACCCAGAATTTCTGATGATTTTGTACTTATTTACAGTTTGCACTTATTTACATATTTGTACTTATTCCCAGCTTTGCACAGTTACCTACTCCGCCGTTTCAGCAGTTGTGAGCAATAGACTCCAACACGTGAGCATCACCCTCCACCTCTTCCGCACGTGCTGCCAAAAACAAGTTTGGGAGTCCCAATATGTTCAAACACTTTCTTTGTACTGCTCACATTGTCTCACGTATTCCTCACACTACATGTTCCCATAACATCCGAGCATTGACACACTGTCAATTCAGTGTACAGAAATGCAGAATTCAATCAATCGATTCCAGTGCATGCGCAAGACTCATTCTATCCACATTTTCGTTGTTCTTGACTTGGATCGTTGTTTTGTTGTCTTTGTTTGTCGTTGACGTTAGTGACTTATGATGTCCATTGCTCCACTTCGACTTTATCGCAGCTTAGCCACTCAATTTCGCGCAGCTTTTTCGCTCGTGTACAGACCCTGCGATGGA